AATTTTTACTCTGTTTTCTTCATGATAATTTTTTTTTTTATAAAGATTGTTGAATGTTCATTTCGTCGTGTACCAACAAATCAATATCGCAGTTGGTTTCCAAAACTTACAACAACACGTGTTGTACCAATAATTGATATATTATATGATCAAAAATCTATGAATCATTTTTTTGAAGATTCAAATTTACCTGGATGGATACGTTCAACAGCTAAATTATTATCAACATCAGAAATAAATATAAATTTAAATAAATCATCAAGTGAAAATCGTACATGGATTATATTAGCAAAAAAACTTGGTTATCAACAATCTGTTATTGATCAATTTTCTTTAAGTCGTAATCCAAGTTTACAATTAATTACAGATTGGATTGTTCGTACTGGAAATTCATCATTAGCTGTTGATATGTTATTTGCAACAATGAAACAAATTGGACGTGATGATTTAGTTGAAATAATATTACGTGAAAGAGAAACACAATATCCATTACCATCTGTTTTTATTAGTTATCAATGGGATATACAAGATGAAGTTAAAGAATTACGAAATTTTTTAGAACTTGTTGGTTTTACTTGTTGGATGGATATGGGACAAATTGGTGGTGGAGAATTATTATATGAAAAAATTGATCATGGAATACGAAATGCTAAAGTAAATAAAAACATAATATATAAAGGTTTTTTTTTTGTGAAAATTTTCTTTCTTATTTAGGTTTTAATCTGTTGTATAACACCAATGTATATTGTTTCAAATATGTGTCAACGTGAATTAATCTTAGCTGATATGCTTAAAAAACCTATTGTACCAGTTATGTTTGAATCAACACCATGGCCACCAGTTGGTGCAGCAAGTTTAATTCTTTCACAATTAACTTATGTAGATTTAAAAGGTAAAAACTTGCCGATTCTTCTCTATTGATTTGCTCAAAGCTGACGTTCCTAGTTTTTTTTCTAACATTCTCAATTGCCTTATGATCATCCGCAATGGTGATTCTAATATTTCTCAATTAATTTGCATATATAACGAAGGAGTCGATATATTTAAGAAAAATAAAAATAACAGTGTTAGATCCGTTGGAACTTAAAAGACAAATATTACCATTCGATTCAGCACAATGAGTTATCTCTGACCTAGTTGTTTCTGTAGACGATTACAGATTAATTGACAGAAATGTGGGTCTCAAAATTAGCCATGAACGAATCGAAAGAGAAGACTTTTCTCTACCAAGTCTCATTTTGAGTAGTGAATGACTACATTCTGAGTTTTTTCTCTTGATTGGTGATAATCTGATGTTCCTATTGGAAATGCATAGATTTTATTAATAACTAATGATAATTTGTTCATAGGTGCCGGTGGACATGGTGGTAGTGGTAAAGCAATTGATTTACAAGCACGATATAATGAGATAGCATCGATTGTTTCGCGTCATACTACATCATCGTCACCAAGTACATTTCATCGATTAGTACATTCTTCGTCTATTGATCAACGTGGTGCAAATCATCCATCATCAGCTTTAGCTGTATTAACAACAGCTCGACAAGCAAAACAAGCACGAAATAATCGTCGTCAAAATGTTGATTCAGTTAATTCAAATGACAGTTCTAATAGTAGTATGAGTGATGATGATTATGATTATGATGATAATGAAATTGATGTTAGTGATCATCGTATACGACCTATTGAACCTGTTTTAACAGCTGCTAATGTTGGTCCAACTGTTGGTACATCTTTAAATCAACCATTTCAAATACGTAGTTCTGTTCATTTGGAACATCGTCTTGGTCCCATGTCAAATTATCACCCACAACCAAATGTTGATAATAGTATTGCCAGTTGTACCATCTGTAGCATTCTGTGATGAGTTATTTTTTTATTTCTTATTTTTGTCGTCGTTGTTGTTGTTGTTTCTATTGAACTTTTAATTCGAAAAAATGTTTTTTTGCTCAATAATGTTGAGATGATGGACTATAATTTTTATTATATTTATGATTTAAATAAAAAGAAATAAAAAAAAAAAAATGTCATCGCCTTACGAAAAATTTCTTTTCGTATAAAACTATGAGAAGTAGATAGTCTAGAAAAAGTTTAGTTTTTAAGTATTGTAATATTTGTAAAGATAAAGCTTGTTAGCGTAATTCATTCGAAGCTTTTAATACTTACTGAAAAATTTCGATATGAAATTTGGCCTATAGATAATTCTGAGAATATTCTAAAAGTTTCAGTCGAAAAGAATATTCCTTTATTGAGATATTGAATTTTTAATAAGAATAGTTGTAACTTATAGATATGTCAGATAAATTTAATATTAAATGAAATAAAATACTCAAAAATGAATATATTGTTAAATAAAAAAAAAATTCATTTATTATCAATATTAAAATAAAATAAGAAAATTAAAAGCAAAATATTTACAACACTTGTCAATTACTTTTCATAAAAGAATAATATATTAATAATTAAATGATTTATCTGTAAATATGTGTAATATTTTATTCATTGTTTGAGTCGAAGGTCGTACTATCCATTTAGGTTTTTATGACAATTATATCACGTATTATATGTCGATACTTCCAGAAATAAATGTTTCTCCTTCCAGAAGAGAAAATGCGAATAAAATATTGAATGTTTTAAGATAATATGACTATTATATTATTTTACATCAGATTTTGATAATAATGTAGATGAAAGTAATAATTATCGAAGTGAAAAAATAGCAATTTATTTATCAATAATAGATAAAAATAGCGACAATGAACATAAGCATGCAACATACACAATTTATGTTTTTAACGAAATAAGAATTTACTTTCCGTAGTTGATTAAAATACAAAAACAAAATTACTCTTAATGGACTAGAGAAATATATCCAAAAGTAAACACTGTCTAGTATTTAACTGTATCAGTTAAATTTCAATAGAATAGTATGTTTTCAAATAACGTATAAACGATACTAAAGACTTCAGTTATTTGTTTACTATGTTAAAATAAGAAGAAGAAAAAAAACGTACTTTGTTTTTTCTAAAGTATTGTTTATGTTAGAATAATAACCCTAGGTTATTTTATTTGTATTCATTACAAGGATTACTTTTGTAAGCCTGAAGATATGAGTTGTTTTATATTCCGAAAAGATCGTATTTCTTTTTTTTTTGAATTTGTTCTAATAATAAAACTATAGAAAGTACCTGAAGGTACTTAATCACATGTTTTTGTTTGTCTAGTTCGAAATATATTGATAGTCGTAAAAAAAGAGAATTTCACTCATTTAAAAAGATTCTTACAAATCAAGAAATCGTCTATTTTATTTATTAGATTAAATATGACTAAATACAAAATTATAGTCGATATACTCGATCGTATTCATAAATACAAAACGATCTGATATAGTTGAATATCACTGATTTTTTGTTAGGCTATGAATAAGATTTCAATATGAAAACAAAACAGAAATAATCTTTTTCTTTTTCTGATATACTTTAATTTACTTAATTTCAATTACATTTCCTCAGTTATTATCTATCTATATAAAGTATCCTTAATATGTTTTATGTTTTCAAATTAATTACTGAAATAGTGCGATTAGATTTAAATAACTGAGAATATCTGCGAATTTCGATTGAACTGTTTCTTACTTATATTAGTCTTTGATCTATTTACAATGGTTTGTAACATGATGTCCATCTAATAGAACTTATCATCTCTTAGTGAAGTTCTATTTCGAGAAATTCATGAGAAACGATCAGTAGATCAGCATAAGCTATTCTTCATTTTTTTTGTTGTTGATCGTATAACAATCAAATTAAACTCTAACTTAATCACAAGTACCTCTTAATCATTACATAGTAATTAAATAGGAACATTGTTTCATTACTATAATGTTGTCTCTCCCTCTTTTGACTTCTTTTAATGAAGAAATGCATTCATAGGGCTAAAGTCTTGTTTATTAATTAAATGTTTGTCAAGCACGACTGTATATTTTATCTACTTCTCATATTTTATTTATTTCGTTATCTGTTATATCTGTATGAAATATATGCTATAAATTACAAGAAATGCAAATAATAAATTACAATCATAAATAAATATTCAATTTTATTTTGATAAAATAATTTGATATAAAAGTAAATAAATAAATCATTCAAAATCTCAAAAAAATAATATCAACTTCGATTCATAAGAAATCATTTATTAAAGGAAATTGGTCATTGATCATTACTGAGTACAGTTTCAGAGAACATCCGAATTCATAAGAATAACTGAAGACAGAAACATAAACTTCTAGTAATGAGGTCGAAATAGACCGGAATAGGTTTTCTCTCGTGTATTTTCTACACTAATTACTTATTTCATATGAACAAAATTCTATGCAGAAATATTTCCTGTCATTTAGAAATAAAAAACGAAGGGACACATTTCAACATATAAATTTGAAAAATCATGCTGCTTAGCTACCTTTATTTTTGACTTTCAAGGAACTTCGTGATGTTTCACAAGGTCATTATTTTGTATTAATATTAAACATATGATTATGTTCTCTAGGTTAAATCAAAGAAAAACAAAAGAAGCTTTAACATGGTTCAAATTACAATGTATTTACGATAAAGTCTAGAACTTCAATATGTACATATGATTTTATTAATAAAAATAAACATAATATGATCTTGAAAAAAAAACATGGTTTGAATGAGGTATGGAATAGATCCAAATCAATTTAATTTAATATTATGATCTTTCGAACTGTGATTTTATTTTTATGATATGTACTTCATGTTAATCTTTGTATATATTTTATTGTACAATAATCAAAGAAGCCTCTAAATATGAACACATCATTATTCTGAATCATAATGATTACTCAATGCGTCATTTTCATATGTATGTGTACTTGAGTTTCTTTGTTTTTTTTTTGCAAAGAAATTGCACAACACATTAGTAATATTTTCATGTAATTTCTTTTCTTTTTTTGCTACCTTACATTTACTTTTATTGCTTTACAAATGGCGGATGCAATAGACAAACCACCGGATGTTAATAATAGTTTGTATCCTAATGATACATTTTTTTGTTCATCAGAAAAACAACAAATATTAAGTGATGATTTACCATCATTGGAAATTGTTCGTCAAATGATTAAATATGAAACATTTTTACGTTTGTCAGATCCTATTCAACAACTTTTCGATTTATATCATAAAGATGATAATGCTATAACGTAAGTTGATTTATTATTATTATTATGAATTCAAAATTTTTAATAATAAATAGAATGGTACTCGATTTAGTTCAACAACATGTTGTTGAACATTTTGGATATCGACATGTAAATGCATTACGAACAGCTATATCACGTTTTCCAGATGATCCAATTATTAAAGAAGCATTTTATGGTAAGTAAAATAAAAAAAACGATTTAATTATTATTATAAAATATATAAGTTTTTCTTTAGTTAAACATAATAAAATTACTCAAGGTCTTGTCAATCAAGGACAATATGCAATTGATGTTAAACTTTTTACATTGAATGGTGAATCTACTACACTTTTTTCACAAATAAATCCTGAACAACCATTAATAATTTTTGCTGGTTCAACAACTTGACCACCATTTTTGGCGTCTGTCGAGCGATTAAAGTAAATTAATTTTTATTTCTATAGATTATTATCTTAAATTTAATATATTTAGTCAATTATTTCGCTCACATTCGCCAAATATGCGTCTATTGACAATTTATATTGCCGAGGCGCATGCACGTGATCAATGGCCAGCTGGAAAAACAATTTCATGTGTTGATCAACCAAAAACATTAGAACAACGTTTAGAAAATGCATGTCAATTTAAAAATAAATATAATTTTGAAATGCTTATGCTTGTTGATAGTATGGATAATACATTTCATAAAACTTATGGTTCATGGCCATTTCGTTTTTATATTATTAATAATGGAAAATTAATATTTAAAGCTGAACCAGGTGAAACAACATATGCTTATGATTTAAATGAATTAGATACATGGATTGATAATTTCTATCAAAGATAAACATAAAAATTGACAGTATTATTATTATTTTTTAATTCATTTTATACAAACTAATATATATTTTGTTTTCTTATTTTTGTTGTAAATTGATTCTCAATCTGTTTTCAAGATATCAATGATAATTGTTTGATGAAAAAACACAATGTGTTTGTCAACAATTTGAGAATAGATATAATACAATCTTGTAAACAGATGAGATAAGTACAACATTAAAAATCAAACATATATATATATATATAAGTTTGAAATATATTGAATCTTATAATAAAAGAAAAAAAAAAAGAAACATATGTGATATGTCAATGTCTCTTATCAATGTAACATGAAACTAATGTCTAACGTTAGAATTAAAGAGGAGTGAATGATAGTAACATCTAACATAACCTGCGATTTTCAACAATCTTAAATAGAAGAACTATGTAATACAATATAAGATAGAATTATTTTAATATTTATCATTTTTACAAAATGTATGAAAATAATGTTTTATGTCGATATAATTTTGATTATGATATATGCTTCAGATCTATAATTCAAGATACGATTCAAGTAATTAAATTCTCATATGTCAATGTTGATCAAAGAAAAAAAAATGTACATCTATTCGATTAAATTATATTGAAATTTTATGGATCGTTTTTATGAATATTTTTGAAATAATTTTTTGTCTTATATCGTATCAAACAAAAAAAGATGTTTGAAGTTTTTATTTTTCAATTTATGAAAATCACAGAATGTGAATTTACACCTGTCTTTTTTTTTAACTGTAGTTCATACATTTAATTCTAATATATTGTCTTGATAATCAAAATAGATTCTTATTGAAGAAGAATATTTGAAAAAATTCTATTCATTTATATTTATCAAAAGTATTACTTAAGTTAACATTTATACACAAGATCAAACGATTGAGAAGAACAAAACAACATGTACATGATAGAATAAATTATTCTATACGTTCATTTGATATATGATGGCTCAACTGTCATAACGTCTATTGTCTCAATTGAATAATGTTTGTGAAGAAAAAAAAATCAGATAGATAATAATGTCATAATCAGAAGATGGTAGATAGTTCTCTATGATCTTGGAAAAAAATCCATCAAACATAGTAACAATTATGATGATGATGATGATTATTATTATTATTACTATGCTGTTCTTGCTACTAATGGTTTGACAAAAATGATTAGTGGTAGGACAATGCCTAGCCTAGTCTAACCTTGACTATGTAACTAATAGATTAGTAGTATTTTTCATGTCTATAAGTTTATGCTCAAGATTTTTCTATGAGAGAGAGCTACTTTTTTTTTTTTGTTCTAGTACAAATGCTTACTCATTAATCTGATCACGTCATCAATCTATTTCATATGAAGGATGTTGTCTAATCGGTAATCCTTGTCCAGATTGTCTTTATTTATATATGTTGTGTTATATATATTTGCCATTACTAACATTAACAGTGACATGAAAAGAAGAACAATACCAATAACAGCACTCCAACTGTTTATGTTTAATGTTAAAAAAAAAAGAAAGAAGAGAAATTAACAATCTTTTGTAAGGTCATAAAAAATAAAATTATTAAATGAATTCAATGGATAAATTTTCTGAATGGTAATAAATGTTTTTTTGCGTCTGAAATAATTTTTATTGATCAGATAATAGTAACCTTTACCGATAGTCAATGTCAAGGGACGTAACATATGGTGTTAATCTAAGTAATATAAATCAGTTGCTGAACAGACTCTTTCAAATAATATATATAATTTATATTAGTCATGATATGAGATTTAAAAAAGAAAGGTTTTTAGTATGATTAAAAAATTTTTTTTTTATTATTCTCTATTATAAATTCATTTTATATACATATGAAATTTTTATGGTATCGTTTGATTTTTTCTATAGTATGTAATCAAACCTTAAAAATTAAAAAAGAACTGTCATTTATATTCTAAATTCTCTATTTCATTAATACGCTTTTTATAAATGAGATATAGACATCCTTATGTTACTGAATATGTCAATATTATCTTTTAAATTTGATATTTTTAAATAACCGAAAGATTAGATCTTCAAATCAATAAAATATGATTGTTCTAGATTGACATGAATATATTCTAATACTTTTACAAAATATTAAGCATTACACAAAAATGCAATTTATCATTATGATAGTAATGATAGCAAAAAAATTTTGGATGTTTCATAATTCATTTCATATCGATGGTTTCTTTTTTAATCTAAACGTATGAATTCATAACATTCAATTAATTTAGAAAAGTACTATGGACAAACAAAAATCGTGTTTTTTTCTTGTACGTAGATTTTCAAGACGTTTTATCCCAAGTTCGACTATCATTTCTATGGACCTAGAAAACCTAACAATGGCACATTGACATGGAAAATATAGACTTTAAATATCTTCTTCTTCTTCACATCTGTCTATCAGTCCTCTTTATCAAAAAAGCTGAGATTGATTTAATTGATCAATCTATAGTATTTGAAATCATATTAAAAATAAAATTCTTTTTCTTTTGTTGCAGTGTATTTCTCTTCTTTCTTTATCCATTTATTTTCTTTGCTAGTTTTCTTTTCTTTTACATCTTGTTGATCATTATTGATCGAATGGAAAAAAGGTCATAATCACAACTGAATTCCCTATTTCTTTTTCTTGCTTTTTTTTTCTCCCTCGTGTACATATTAATCACTATGGTACGTACATACATACATACATACATGCATGAAGGTATCGTATTTTGTGCCGCCCAACTTAACTGATGATTGCGCAAAAGAAAAAAAACCACCAAAGAAAAGAAGAAAAAAAATCAAGGAATAAATATAAACAACGTTATACATCAAAGACAACACAGTCATGGTATTTGTTGATCTTGATTAAGTAGAAAAAAAAAAACGAGACTACTAGTTTCATGTATACCTTAGGCGATTCAAGGTTACTTATATCATGTTAAGTGAGATCGTGAAAGATGTTAGTATTATAAAAGAGAGAAAAAAGAGAAGCCAAAACAATGTAGATATTGTAATTGAGATCATATAAATACTGGACCCCAAAATCAACATTATTACATTTGAAGAAAAAATATTCTGTATGTTTTTATATTATTTCGTTATTATTTGATCACTGACAAAGACAATAAATGTTATTGTCAATGTGATGACAGTAGTAACAAGATTTTCAAAGAAACATTGTTTTTTCCCTCTTCTTCTTCTTTTTTTGTTCTTTTTTTCTTTCTCTTTTATTTTCTCTTCACCACAACATCGAGAAACAAAATCAGTCGCTCGATTTTCGAGTAGTTTCCGTATCAGGAAATCTCAATGTGACATTATAGACGTAAAAGATCGATTCTTAATATATATGATTGAGTATCAAACTACTATCATTTTGACTTATCTTTTGTTATTATTTTACAGAAATAAAAATTCACCTGTTCATAAAAATTTTATATTCATAATAAGAAATGAGAAAATCTAAATATTTTTGTTATTGTTATTACTGATGACAAAAACGATTAACAACAACTATAACAAATAAGCCAAGCTTTCTATACAATTAAGTAGATTGTTTTCTTTTTTCCTATTTTCTTCAGATCAATGCGATTCGGTTATCTAACCGTTATCTCTTATCGATGGTTGAAACATCGGTAATCTTTATCTTCTTGTTATTCTTTCAGTTAGAGATAACTCAATCATTAGATAATACAAAGTAATATAAAATTTCCACATAATATCGTTGTTCTACTTTTTTTTCTTTTTCTAAATAAAGAAAAAGGTTTTCAAATAGTTTCAATAATGAATTAATTATCAATACTACATCAGGTTTATTTCAAGGTAAAGAAATCCTAACTTATGATGTCTCAATTCGACAATATCTTGGTATTCCATATGGTGAAAAACCAGTTCGTTTTGAAATGCCTATATTACGAAAATATAATAAAAAAATTGTACATGCCATAGAACGTACATCGGCATGTTTACAAGCTCCTGGTGGTCTTTCATATGGTCCATTTGAATTATCTGATATGTATGATGAAGATTGTTTAACATTAAATATGTTTATTCCAAAAACAAAATCTTTTATTCCAAAAGCAATTATGGTATTTTGTCATGGTGGTTCAAATCAAGTAGGTTCAGGTTCATTATTTGATGGAAGTGCTGTAGCTGCAATTGGTGATGTTATTATTATAACAATTAATTATCGTTTAAATATATTAGGATTTTTAACACCTGATAGAAATATTATGTCAGGAAATTATGGTTTACATGATCAATTATTAGCATTAAAATGGATATCAATAAATGCAAAAAATTTTAATGGTGATTCAAAACGTATAACATATGTGGGACATTCAGCTGGTGCAGCTAATGCTGTTTTACTTGCAATGTCAACACGATCGAAAGGTTTAATAGCTCGAGTTATTGCTCAAAGTGGTGGCCCATTAAATCAATGGTAAATAATATTAACCTTGGATGGTTTTTATTGTTTTTTTTTTTTTGGTTAATTTTTATAGGGCTATTGATCAAAATCCAAAAGTTCGATATGATAATGTTGTTAAACGAAATGGTATGGATACAAAGGAAAAATTTATTCAATCGAATATTGAACAATTGAAAAATTTATCAACTAAAGAATTTCGTTATATGTATCATTCAGGTTTAGGAATATCACCAAATTATCCGTACGAGATATATATTTGTTCGGAGTGATTTGTTTTTTTTAAATAGTTGTTGTTTTTCTTTTATATAAAAACTAGATTCCCGGTGGTTGATAATGATATATTAACTGATAATATTGAACAAATGATTCGTACAGGACCACTTGTTAATATTGATATATTAATCGGTGCAACAGCTGATGAATCATTATATTTTGCTGAAGATCATATATTTCGTCATTATTTACCAAAAAACGATCGTACAATTGCATATTTAACAGGCAATTTAGAATCATCAACAAAATCTTCAACTGGTCAATCGACTGAATATGAACAGCCTCGTGGATTTTCTTATTTTAAGAAAAATAAATATATTAAAAATTATTTACAAACAAATTATCCAAATCATTTATGTTTCTATGACGAAATACAAGCACGATATATGCCTCATATAAATCATCAACATAATGTAACTGAAGTTGCCCATCTCTATACAAATCTAGTCAGGTAATTAAATTTTTGCTGAATAAAAATTTATTTTAATCATAATTTTTTATATAGTGATTTAATGTTCTATTATGATCTTGTTCGTTTTCTTCATGAACGTTTAAATTCTCCATCATTAGCATCAACATATGTTTATTATTATACATATCCACCAATATTCGACTTTGAAAATGTTCTACGACGTATGCCACATATGGTTGGACATTTTGCTGAACTTGATTTAATATGGGGTGTACCATTTTTTAATCGTACAAATCAAACAATATTAAATATGCCTTATAATATGAATTTATCTTATACAACAAAAGAAATTGAACTTAGTTATCAAATGATTCGATATTGGACAAATTTTGCTAAAACAGGTAAAGAACTTTTTTTTCTTGTTATCATATAAACACAAAAACAAAAAGAAACAAGTAAATATTCTTATTTTAAAGGAAATCCAAATGAACAAAATAATATTTCGATTTATTGGCCATTATATGAAAAACTAAATAAATCTTATATAAATTTTCATGCCAATAAAATACATATAGAAAATAACTTTTTTGAAGAACGTTTTCAATTTTGGGATATAATATCACATCGTCCAATATGTAATCCATTTCGTTGGTATCATACATCTTTACTTATTGGTATATTAATACTTACACTATTATTAATATTAATTTTTATTTTTCATAATACAATACGATCACGTCGAAATATAAAACCAACAGAATTAACTACCAATAACATTTTAGTTACCTATCATTTTTTACCAAGTGTTGTATCTTAACTTAAACATTGATTTTCTTTTTTTGTGTCTTTGTAATTATATAGTTATATTTAGTTCAATTTATGTCAACACTTCAGTTTTTTTTTTTTCAATCATCATATAAAAAGAAAGTCTATATAAAAAAAACAAAGAGAGCATCATAAAATGAATTAAAGCACTAGAGAATGGTTATTATGCCAATTTTTTTTTCTCTCTCTTCTATGCATACATATGTCTCTCTTTTAGCGGTGAATTAATAAAGAACGCAAAATGTCGACAATGGTAATGTTGGCCGAGTGAAATTTTCTTCCGTCTGTTCCGTTTTCAATGCCCAATCGCGACACTGGGTTGAAATATAAAAGAAATAAAAAAAAAAAAGTAAGAGGTAAAAGGGACGCAGAAAAAGAGAAAAAAGAAGAAGGAAAAAAAAGAAAGAAATAGAAACTCATGTCTAGAGGTGTATGATTCATTCATATATGCGTTGACCGCCATTAGAGTAGTGGACAGATTGAGTCTATATCGTTGTGTCCTTTGCTTAAACACGACATTCTCAAGGTTATATGAATAATCCTTTACTTCTTATAGAAAACATTCAATCAATAAAGTAAAAATGGTAAGAAAAAGGTTATCAGTATGAAGACCTTGAGAAGTTCATAAGCGCATTTTTTTTTGCTACTTTTTAGAATGGTGCTTATGCAAATGGCGGTAATGATGATCGAAATGATTCAACACGTATAATATCTTATAGATCGGCTGTTAGTAGAGATCATATACGAACAGCTAATCGTACAAAACGAAAACGTATTGGCAATGAAATTGATTTAAATGATATTAATGCTGATCTTGTTTATGTAAGTTTTTATTAATATTTGAGAATTATATTTCTTTTTCATATGTAAAATTATTTTCTTTATGTATTAGGATGAACATCAAATTTCAATTGAAGAACTTGTTCATAGATTTGATACAGATTTAAGAACGGTAATTAAAAGATTATGTTAAATTTTAATCAGAAAAAAAAATATTTGATGAAGATCATTTATAAGAAATATTTAAGAATTAACAAAAAAAAAAAAAAAAAACTAAATGAAGGATAATAAACTTTTCGAATGAACTTTTGAAAGATTCACGGGGAAAAAAAAAGAAAAACAAATTGGTATTATCATCATCTGTCTTATCAGATTATTTAACAAACTGACCTTTGTCGTTTTTCTTTTTTAATCTATGAAAGAAAAATCATTTCCAAACTTATGAATTTCATTAAGATATATAAAGTTCTATTTATTTATTTTAAAATTTAAATGTTTCTTTTGTTTTGTTTTTCTTTTGACATTGATAAAGGGTTTAACAAAAATTCAAGCTAAACAACGATTAATTGATGAAGGTCGTAATCATATTGAACCACCACATGTTAGCGTTTCAAAATCATGTGAACGATTTTGGTTACAACCTTATATACTATTTGTTTCAATTTTATCATTACTTGCTATACTTTGTTTTGTGGCTTTTGCTATACAACTTAATACACGTCAAGAACCAACATATGAGAATGTAATTTAATCAATATTTAATATATATATATTTAATTTTTCTATGTTTTTGTAATTTTATATTTAGCTCTATATGCTTATTGTATTGATAATATTCATTCTTTTACCAAGTATTTTTACATTTGCTGTTAGTCATATAAGTGCCAACAAATTACAATATTTACGATATCAAATAAAACAAGTAAGAAAAAAATTCTAAATTGAGTTATTTCGTGTACATAACAACAAAAAGAAAAAAAGATCAGTAGACAATGTAACAAAACGGAAGCCCTCCGATTATCGTCAGAGGACGAAAGTATGTTTAAGAGAGAAGAAGAAAAAAAGGAGAAAGGTGTGTATTCATGTTCGTCCTTCTCTTAAACATCACATCATAATATAAGTTTGTGAATAATGAAGATGATCCTTCAAAAATCGACAGACACATATACAACATAATGATGACATTTTTTTTTTATTTTAACATATTATTATATATATTTTATTCGAACTCTCGTCATTTTTTTTAATCCAATAAGTCTCGACTTGATGTTTATTATTGTAACTAATCGTTATTGAATATAAAAAAAAAAAACAGAAAAAAAGAAAACAAAATAAAATAAAATAAAATGATGTTGACAATGGTATTCATTTATTTATTAATTTTTTTAACAACAATTATTAATGGACAAGATACAACATCATGTGAATTAAAAGATTCATTATCATGGACACCATGGTTTAATTTTCATAAACCATCATTAAAAGGTGAATATGAATTACATGCTGCGATACGTAGTCGACATCCAACTATTGTTTGTGCTGAACCTCATAGTATATCAGCTGTTAATCAAGTCGGTATTGATATGAATCATACACTTGATATGATATTATTACGTTCATATGATGTATTTTGTTTAAATAATTATGATCCAAAATTTCAACAAAAAATTTGTGATGATTATAGTGTACGTTATTGTTGTCCAATAACATCAAATAATATACGAGATATATATTATAAAAATAAAACACAAATAAATTCATTTATTGATAATCAATCACGTGTTGTACAAACAAAATGTGGTCGTGTAATATCATCAAATATATTACAATCAACAACACGTACTGGATTTTTAATGAATTTATTTAATTCAATGCTTTCAAGAATAATTAATGGTGTTGAATCAACACCAAATAATTGGCCATGGCTTGTATCTATTGGTATACGATATCGTGCTCGAAATGGTTTATGGCAAAATCGTACACATATATGTGGTGGAACATTAATTGAACCATCACATGTTCTTACAGCTGCACATTGTCTTGAACAAAAAATTGATGATCGTTATGTTCCATTTACAATAACAAATCCAACATTAGAATCATTATTTATTTTACGTATTGGTATACATGATATACGTTCAACACGAACAGATGAAATTTATGGTGTTAAACGTATATTTGTACATGAAAGATTTATATCAAGTACATTTGAAAATGATATTGCAATAATAAGACTTGATCGACCTGTAATAATAACAAAATATACATTACCAATATGTTTACCATCAAATAATATATTACCTGGTACACAAGTAACTATTGCTGGTTGGGGTACAATAACAGAAACATCACGTGTTCATTCAAATGTACTACGACAAGCTAATGTTAATATATTACCAGCAACTAATTGTCGAGTTTATACAGATGTTCATTATGATACATCAAAACAATTATGTGCAGCAGCTTTAGATTGGTCAAAAGATACTTGGTAAAAATTTTTATTTTTATTTTCGATATGGAAAAAAAAAATATTAATTGGTTTATTTTTAAAGTGCTGGTGATAGTGGTGGTCCATTAATGTATCAAGAAAATGGTGAATGGACAATAAGTGGTATTACATCATATGGTTATGGTTGTTCGAAACGTGGATTTCCAGGTGTCTACGTTCGTACAGTGCCATATTTAACATGGATTAAACAAAAAATGTTGAGCACTTATTAGGATCTTCATCATTTCGTTTTCATTTTTTGATCTGCATATAAATAAAATAATTTAACAGAAAAAAGAAAAAAAAAATAATAATTAGTTTTTATTTTTGGGCGTTGAATATAATCTTTGTTTTTTTTTCTTTATTTATTCTTTTTTAGCAAGTCGATGTTAAACGTGAAGGTGAATGGCAACGTATTAATTCTGAAGATCTTGTACGTGGTGATATAATACATGTACGTGGTGGAGATCGTGTTCCAGCTGATATTCGTATTGTACATACATCTGGTCTTCTTATTGATAATTCAATTTTAACAAAAGATTCTGATCCTGTACCTAAATCAGCTGATTATACAAATACAAATCCATTAGAAACAAATAATTTATTATTGTGTGGAACAAGTGTAAGTTATATTGATTTTTATATTATAAATAAAATTCAGAGAATGATTGAGGTTTTTATTTCTTTAGGTTACTCATGGATCAGCTATTGGAATTGTTGTTAAAACTGCTGAACATACATTATTGGGTAAAATGTCAAATACAACTGAAAGTAAGTTATGATGAAGAATTTTTATGAAATACAATTTAAAAGAACTACTGAATTATAAGAGTGACACTTTAAACTAGTGGCGTAACCAAGGTAGGGCCAGGGGGGCTCAGCCCTACCACCCGACCGTTCAGCCCTACCACCCCACAGGCCTCAGTAACCTGAGCCCTACCACCGAATATTTAAGCGTTGCTGAGCCCTACCATCGCCAAAACTCTGGTTACGCCGCTACTTTAAACCCCTTAGAATAGACACTATTCAGAAGCTGTCATAGGCCGTGACGAACGATGTTCAAATATGATCAAAGACTGTATATATTAATAAACTCTCATTACTATCTTCTTATTGAGTTTCTGAAGATGTATTTTCAAAATGATGAGAATAAAATGATTTCCCTATGATTAGTAACAGCAATTAGATAATGCTAATAATTTTTCTCTTTGTAAAAATTTTTAGGTTTGGATCCTAAACGAACAATATATGCACGTACAATACGTTCTTTATTTCTTTTTCTTACGGTACTTGGTCTTGCTCTTGGTGTTATTTTCTTTATTATTCTATATTCAACCGGTTATTATTGGCTTTATGCTATACAAATAATGATATCAGTTTATATTGCTTGTATACCAGAAATTTTACCAGCTATAATACATGTAAAAAAAAAAAAAAGAAAAATTTTTTGAAATATTTTCGTTTTTTTTTTGCTATATATTTATAGTTATGTTTAACACGTACAGCACAACGTATGGCAACAAGAAATTGTCTTGTTAAAGTTATTGATGCATTATATGATTTAGCTTGTACAACAATATTATTTGTTGATAGATCAATTTTAACAAGTAATAATATGGCAACTAGTCAAATATGGATACCATCAAATCAAGAACGTATTCTATTACCTGCTCTATCAGATGATCTAACAGGTATATATTTAATTTAAATTTATTCAACTAAAAATTTATGTTTTCCTTTTTTAGTTATACAAGAATGTATGCAAATGTCAGGTTGGCAAACATTAATGCGTACAGCTATACTTTGTAGTCAAGCAGAATGTTTTACTGATCAACATCAAGCAACTCGACATGCAACATTAACAGAATGGTTTGTTCATTCGACTAAAATAAAAAGTCTTGTTTTTTTTTTCATATTATTTTATTTTTGAAAAATTAAATTAGGGAAGGTGATGCACGTGAAATAGCAATAATAAAATATGCTGAATATGCCGATTTGGATATAGCTGCTATACGTCAATTGTATCCTCGACGTGATTTTCGTCCGTTTACACCGGAAAATAAAAGAATTGTTTGTAATCGATAAAAAATTATTTCATGTCATGTTTTTTTTCGTTTCTTAAGGAATCATTTCATTTTAATAATGAACCAAATATGGAAGGAATGTATCTTGATTGTATGATGGGTGCACCAGAACGTATTTTTCATCGATGTGCAACTGTTTTTTTAAATGATGAAGAAATACCAAAAGATGGTGATATTGTTTTAGAACGAATGTTTAATGAAGCACTTATTCAAATGGCTTCACTTGGTGAAACTGTTCTTGGTAAATTGAAATTACTTTGTTTTTTTTTGTCTTATTGTTATTTAATTTAGGTTTTGCTGATCGACAATATCATCGTGATGATGGTCCTCAAGAAAATTGGCGTTTTCTTGGTCTTATGTCATTTAGTGATCCAATTCAAGAAAAAGCTGTTACAGCTATTGAAAAATGTCGATTAGCTGGTGTTAAAGTAAATTATTCATAATGAATAGAGTTGAAATTGATTGAAGTTCTTGAGATTTTTAATACTAACATCTTTCATTTTGTCAATCATGTACTAAGATTGTTTCTTTACAAGAAGTGATCGATTTGATGTTATTTTTTGTTTTTATTATTTGAGATTATTGTTTTCACGTATTTGAAAATTAGAATACTCCTTATAGTTTTAGTTATCTTGAAAAAATTAAGAAATAGTATTATCCTTACTTGACAAAACTTTTCCATTCGTCAGTTAGTATTCCCAATAGGAAATTCTAAATCAAGTACAAAGTTTAATTTTGAATTTTTTTGCCTATTAAGAGTCTCGGAAGTGAACTTGAAATTTTGCGATGTAAAATTTCTAGTTTTGACTGCATTTATTTTCTGAATCTGTGATTAACTGTTCTTGACTCCCATCAATATATTCAGTATGCTTCGAGATCACTCATTGCATATTGTGAAGCGTTCGGTCAACAATTAGAGCTTGAATTTCGCTGTCAACTAGAAATTTATCGGCTCCAAATTTTAAGATGTTGTTTCAATTATTAAAACAAAGTAAAAATATACTAGCTTCTCTATTCTAAAAAGTAATAATAACAAACCGAAGACAATCAGACTAGACTGAAAACCGACAAATAGACTACTGACAGGTCTAAAATTTTCGGACCCGATGGGGTCTACTAGCAAATCGGTAGGTCTGGTACCAATTCCAAATTTGATTCTTACATACATGAGATTTCATAAAGTAAATAAAGAATTTGTATTTTCTTTATAGGTTATTTTAATATCTGGTGATCATCCAGTTACTGCATGTGCACTTGCTAAAGATTTAACTATATTTTCAGCTGAATCTGAAACTGTTGAAGATGTAGCTATTAAACTTGGTATACCAGTTGAACGTGTTGAACCACGGTATATTTAAAATAAATATT